TTTCGAGTCGGTCGGTTTTGAGTTGGGAAAATTGCAGGGTTTTCTGCAATTTCTGGAAGACTTTCCATACTGGTTATGTTACCAGCACCAGTCGGAATTATCCGTCTCTCGTGGTCTAGAGACAGATCGCTTACGTGAAGGGCTTCTACGTGGGTTATGTGAGCGCTTACGGTCGTTACGAAGGTTAAGATAACGCGTGAATGACATAACTCTGTTATACCATTCTGAGTCGTTTGAAGATTTTCTTTGACAGAAAATACCTCGGTAGTAGAAGATTTCGTAACTTCTAAAATACGATCGGCAGATGCAGCCAGTTCGTCTAAGGCGTTGTTCTGAAACGAAACCAGAACCGCCTGCACCTGTTGGGGAAGTTTGGACAAGAAAAATTGTTTGAATAGTCCCTCGCCGAAAGTTCTTAAGCCTATAACCTCTATCATCCTTTGCAAAATGTCCGTCGCAGAATCGCGCTGCAGGTCTGTGTTATTAAAGAGTTTATCTAACCTTTGTCGATCGGTTAGGTCTCCTCGTTTAGGAATCGAACGCTTTAAGGTTTCGTACGGTTCAGAAACATCACTAGTAAACATACTAGGTGCCTTGACTACTGCGAGGAATTGCGCACGTGTGTCGTTCGCGCCGTGCTCGTGGAAGTCGGCTTCTGCGTAGCAGAACCAGGCTTCGATGTTGTCCGGCCGAAAGGGCATGAGTTGGAACGAGGGTGGGGACATGGTCTTAATCTTAAATACCTTAGGAGTCTGTTCGGTCATAGGGAAATATTAAGTACGAGAATATGAGGGAAAAATATAGATATCCTGAGACACGGGGAAAAATATCACAATGTATAAAAATTAAAAAAAGTAAGGCAATAATATATAAAAATCCCAAAAAGGAACAGACTCACAGTTGCAATTAGGTGTGCCAGATCACGTCGGGCTCACCAATGAAGATTGCACAGGTATTCAGTGTTTGACAACGCTTTTACCAGCAACACCTTCTAATATGATTCGTACCCACCAAGAGAAATCAAAAGACAGAGTCGAGGAGATTGGAAGAGTGTATTTGGCGATAACCAATATATCGGGATTGTCTGATCTAATCTGGCTAGCGACTGCGGTAGATGTTGAGCACAGTGTTCTCACACGTGATCTGGTGTGGATGCATGACCGAGCGCCTTCAGCTAGGTGATTCCACTAGAACTAATCTGGTCAGCATCCAATGTCGAAAACTTACAGAGCTATTTATTTTCGGGATTTATTTACCGCTACACACTTATGGGCGTCTGCTTAAACATCTGATTAAGTTTAGTCCCTTAGGGTTAACACCCAGAAACTGGGAACTCAACACAGCAGAACGGTCTTCAGTCTTCAGTCTTCAGTAATAAGGATAGTAGGTTGATGAACCTGTGTTAATCCTGACACATTGCTTTCCAGTGAAGGTCCAGCTTTTCCTTGAAAGTATTCACTGATGGGGCTGATACCACTTGTTCGGGTAAGGCGTTTCAATGATTGACTACTCGATGAGAAAAACGGGATCCCACTTTAAGTTTATTAGATCGTGGTTTATGAACCTTCTTGCTATGACCTCGGAGATTATTAGTGCTGGAGGGAGCAAAAAGATAAGACATATTAACACCCAAATCATAATTAAAGATACGAAATGCCAGTATAAGGTCACCTCGTGTCCTACGATACGATAAGGGGAAAAGATTTAGGCGTTTTAAGCGCTCATCGTAAGGGAGTCTAGAAAGACCCTTCACTAATTTCGTTCCCACACGCTGGACACGCTCAAAAGAGTTAGTATCCTTTACTAGACACGGGCTAGCTGCTTGGATACAGTACTCTAAATGTGGTCTAACATATATGGGATATAAAATTCGAAACGTTTCCTCGTCAAAAGATTTGAACGCTCGGCGAAGTGACCATAACGCACGAAAACCTTTGACAGCGGCTGCTTTGCAATGCGCAGTTGTTTTTAAGTCATGACTTAATATTACTCCTAAGTCCTTATGCTCTTGAACGCATGGAAGAGGTTTACCCTCAATAGTGTAACGGTAACTATTACCGTGACCGACGTGCATTAGTACACTCTTCCTAGCATTGATTTCTAACCCCCACTCTCGAGCCCATCTAACTAAATCGTCTAAGTCAGCTTGAAGATCCACATGATCAGCCGCACTTTTTATTGTTCTCCAGATTTTTACATCATCTGCAAACAATAATGTCGACGACCTAAGTAACAGTGGTAACTCATTAACGTAGAGAAGGAAGAGCAGAGGGCCTAAGATGGTGCCTTGGGGTACACCACTTTTGACCGGCTTCCAATCGGATAGCGTTCCATTGACCCTAACTCTCTGTCTGCGGTCACATAAGAAATTTCCTATCCACTCATGTACAGTACCTATTATTCCGAAGGTCGTGAGCTTCTGCATAAGACCTACGTGTGAAACCTTGTCAAACGCTTTGCTAAAATCTATGAATATCACGTCGACAGACAGACCGTGATCTAGGGCTGCTGTCCAATCCTCCCTCGCAATAAGCAAGTTAGTCAAGCAAGAACGCTTGTTACGAAATCCGTGTTGCTCAGGAGCTAACAGATTGTGTGAATCTATGTGGCTTAGCAACGTAACCCGAATTATCTTTTCGAGTAACTTAACGACTATGCTAGTTAGACTGACAGGCCGGTAGTTAGATACTATCTGTCGCTGACCGTCCTTAAATATAGGACTAACTATAGCGTCCTTCCAATCTCTAGGGAGTTGAGCGAGTGAGAGGGACATGTTGAAGAGTGTCGCAAGCGGTTTTGAAATAATGTCCGCAAGAGATGATAGCAACCGTGGATGTAACCCGTCAGGGCCCGGTATCTTACCAGGTTTGAGGTTAGTTATCAACGGAAGGACAGTTTCCTCAGTCACCTGTACAGATTCAATGGTTGGTATCTCGGTGTGAGTGGGACAAGTATTTGTTACAATAAACGTAGAGAAGACTTCGCTAAAATAATCTGAAAAAGTCTCAGCTTTTGCTCGATCTGATTCAGCTAGTAATTCTGAATTTTCGTGTAACAGCAACGGGGGAATACCATCACTACGTTTCATTTGCCGTTTAACATACGAAAACAATCGTTTCGGACAAGTACGGCTATCATATACTAACTGTCGTTCGTAAGTGGTACGGGATTTCGCTATGGTTTTCTTACAGATATTACGGTATTTTTGATACTCACGCTTAAATGGTGCATGACCTGTCAACAAGAATAAGTCCCAGGAATGTTTCCTACGCTTTAACAGCTTCTGGGTTTCCTTATTAATCCATGGAGGGCAATGTGATAGCTTACGTGCTGACCATGGGATAAACGGCGACGTTACGGACTCGAATGTAGCCTTAAACTTATTCCATTCATCTTCGATCAATCCTTTCGCGTCGACCGACCAATCGGTCAACATAGCACGGTTTCTGATTTCCGGAATATTAGCTCGCCAGATATTGGGACGGGGTGGAGCAGATACGAATTGTATACCATGCGTCCTAAACTTAAAGTGAATTACAACGTGATCACTGTTCACTAGTGGAGGAAGGTGCTGGATATCAAAGACATCCTCACAGTGGTGGGTGAGGGCGAGGTCCAGCAGTGACGGAACATGTTGCAAATCAATATGTGTCGGTTTTGTGATACATTGTACAAGTGCACACTGAATAACGGTAGATAAAAGGTCGCTATCGAAACCACTACCTGGAGCTGTAAGCTCTATCCAGTTGATATGCGGTGCGTTGAAGTCCCCAATGATGAGACAACATTCTGCCATACTCCAAGAACAGATGTGTCTTAGGATAAAGTCGTCAGCCAGACAAGACGGACTACGGTATATTCCCCCTATAGTCACTAACCCATTTCTAGATTTAATCTTACAACATGCAACCTCACATGTGCCACTGATATGAGCCTCTGATATGGTTGATTGTATACGAAAGTGATCCCTAACGTAAAATATTATACCTCCCCCCTTGCGACTTGAAACTCTATCACTTCTGATACAGATATAACCAGCAATGAAAGGAGAACAGTCTATATCAACGGTGAACCAAGTTTCTGTAACAACGATTATATCGGGACATAATTCTTCCACCATCAGACTTAGCTCGGACGTTTTATTTCTAAGACTACGAGCGTTCGTGTAGCACACACTTAAGGTGTTTTGGAGATCAATCGTTCTACCCATACAGGCCTCGGAAGCATTGGCTTCCAAGACCTGACTACCCGAAAACCCTTAATGGTAAGGTTATTTTCGCCATTTAATTTGCGAGTCCTCAACTCCGTAAGAGCATTCTTCCACTTGATTCGATCCTCAAGCGGCCAATCTGGTCGAATACGGATATTTGAGGCACGAGTTTTTAGTGCGCTTTTCAATAATATGTCTCTTTCTTCGAAACTCCCGAGAACCAGCTTCAGGATCCTTCTTGGTTGGGTCTCGCCTCCAACCCATTTACCAAGTCGTATTACTTTTGTAATATGTACCCCTGAAACCTCTTCAGGTAGTACATTCCTCACCACAGACTCCACTCACACTTTACACTCCTTAAAAGTAGTCAAATGATGGAATTCGCTCACTGCTGAGCTAGTTCTAGTGACTTCTCAGGAGTACTTTAAGAGGAAACTTGAAACCTTCTTTAGGACTAAAGACAGCATCTCCTTATAATTTGCCAACTTTTCAAAAGTCTTCTTTATCATTAAATATACCGAGGTTCTTACCTGGAGGCATCGGTGATCCACTGCTACTAGATACGGAAGCCTGTAAGCGGAAGCTTAACATTTGAACAATTAGGACCAAGGTCGTTGACGTTAGTTGGATCACCTCTTTCTCAACATCTCGTTGCGTGATTCAAAGTTTCCAAGACGTTTCTGGGACTCTTGAAAATATATTGCAAGGTTCTAGTATTATTTCAATATCTCATACATATAATCCTTACTTGTTAGAGTTTTCTTATTGAGCGTCAGTTACATTCTTCGCAATGTCGTCGGTATTGGAACAGCTGATGGAGATGGGCTTCACACAAGCTAGAGCGTTTGTCTGACTTCTTAACCATGCTAATTTTATTCAGGGAAAAGGCTTTAAAGTTTTCTGGCAACAAAGGATTAGAGGAGGCCATGGAATGGTGGGTATTCTCGATTCATCTAAGTCATTATTTTTCAGGATTGTAGAGAATGATAGTGGTGATGAGGAAAAAGGTACTATTTATTTAGTAGGCTGTATAAATGCTTTCAATAAGAGGGGATAAACGGAACCAGGGAAAATGAGACAACGGACTTACCATTATCTTACAAATGTGATGAGTAGCTTTCATATTACTTTCTAATTTTATTTTAGTTGCGATAAGTGTCTCAGGAATGAAGATGAAGTTCAGGTGCATAGTGCTCGTACAGGACACGTCAATTATTCACAGTGCTCAGATGCAGTCTCATCACTGACAGAAGATGAACGTAGGGAACAAATGAAGAAACTTCAGGTTTCTGTCTAAGTGTAGAATTCTTTATTTCTAGTTTGTATGCCGTGAATGGCTTTTGCCAAAAATAGTTTATCACTCGCTTTAGTGTGAATATGTCAATGATACAGGATTTAGCCTTTTTACATGAATGCTATGAGTAGTTCATATATCTCCAATCTCATTACTTTTGATTGATATTTGATTATGATTGTCTACTCTAGCCCGTATCTGAATATACAGTTAACAATGTTACATATGTTTTCATAGGTGTGGGAAACTCTGAAGCCGGATTTTCTCCCGAGAGGAAATCGCGACTATTTATGGTATAATATTAAAGGGTCGAGAAAAATCAACTCGTTCTAGTTCACTCATTCTTTCGAAACAGTTTTGTTGTAAATGGTGAATGCTTTTTTTAACTTTGTGTTACTTCGTTGTCCATTTTAACTTGTTTCTCCTGCTTAACAGTTCTCTGGTGTTGCTGAAACAATTATCTTCATTCCCTTCGTTTCTAATTTCCCCTTATTGTACGGACATTAACTGTAACCATTAGTCCGTCTTTTTCTTGTTCCACGTTATTTCTGTTTCCGTATAGCTCATTTGTTTATCGGTTAATAACTAATGTTCAGCTGATAAGATTAATTAAAACATCTTTTTATTTGTCCTGTTATCGGTTAATACAGTTATTAAAGTAAGTTCAATTGTGTTGTTAGGAGTAATTACAATTTGTAATATTTACTGACTTCTCGTTTTCTTCAACCATTTTCTTGCAATCTGCTGTTTTTTCCTAGTGGGCTGCTGTGTTTAATGGGATGAATATCAATCAGACATGAAGTACATTCATTTTTACCGTTGTAGTTCATTCTTCCTTTTACGTAGGTTTATGAATTTTACGAAACCCGATCGTAAATGGCAAATATTATAATGGGAAGTATACTTGTTTATCCGAATGATAGAAAAGCCTCTAATCTCAATTAGCTCCCTCCACCAAGCTACACAAACTCATAACATTAATAACAAGAAATCCCTAATCAATAGGTTCCACTAATGTTATACAACTAGTCAAATAAGTTTGTTTGATCAAACTGTCATGTTAATTTGCTATCATCTTACAGTATATATAAAAAACTCCGTCATGAATAAGTAGTCTATTGTTCATAGTTGCTGCATTTTATGTATGTATATATTGATAGGAACTTCTGCGGGCCAAGAAAACCCAAAGAGAAGAACAAGAGAGACATGAAGAGATTGAGCGTGAAAAGAAAAGGCGTCAACAACACAAGACACTAAGTTCAGCTAAAGCGAAATTCGAAGAAGATGAAGTACGTCGTTTTGTCGAACAAAAAAAGCGTGAAAAAGAGGAGGATCGAGCTTATCTGTAAGTAGAATCTGATTAGAGTTAGTTTTTCGCCTTCGTTTTACACTACTGTTTTCGTTCACTATACTATACATTGAGAATACTTTTATATATGTGCACAAGACTTCACATTGACTTCTGTTTGTTTTGTAATGAATAGTGTATATGTTGAATATTCTCTTTTATGGATTATGTTGGCTTCATCATTAAGGTTTTAGGAATAACTTACTGATTACAGTACTAAACTTCCAACTGATCGTTTTTGAGTTAAAACCCTGCTTTGGTTGCTTCAATTTGTGTTGCTAGGTATTATCACAAACACACAAAAGGTATTCCCCATAACCGAGTATATTAATCCCTACTTGCTCACTAATTTTCATCACATTATCATTTAAGAGATAAAGGTTGATCTAGTTAATTATCTTCCTCAGTTTCATCAAAGCTAGCTTATAATATACTAAATTTAAAAATAAATATACATCACACAGTGGATAATGTGAACACTGGTAGTTTTGTACGCATTTAATTAATTTGAAAGCTAGAGGGATCGCATAGCAAATTGGTAGAAGGTTAAATAATTTTTAAGTAATGTGCATTTTAGGATGTTAATAAACTTCTTAGGCACACCCTTCTTCAATAGACAATCCCAGAGAACAGTCCTATCCAACGAATCGAATTAGGAATAATAGGAATTGAAGAGGGAGGTGGATTATGAATACAGTGGTCTTGAGTGTTGTTAGAGGTATGAGGGCGGTTATCACTTCCCCGTTGCCCACCCCGTGGAAGGGTTCTTCTAGAGGTGCCTGAAAAGGAAATTGGATTAGAGGTGGTATTAGTAACCTGAGAGCGTGACTGCAGTGCCCATTGGACAACTGCCTGAGGTCGGTCACGCACGACCTTTTCGTGCGTAATTTTCGTGTTAGCTCCGCATCTGTTGAGACCTTACTGCCGGAGACGGCTATCCGTGGGATAAGGCGAGGTCTGTATCTTTAGGGTCGACCTTTCCTTACCCCACCCATCCTTGTGGGAAGGCAGCATCGCTGTCATGCTGGTTGTCTGAAAGAAACACCTTACTGCTGTCACACCTCTGTACAGTCAGCAGTACGACTTCGCCTTCGGACCTTAGGTTTGTTGCTTTTAGTCTTACCGCTCTTCAACCGACCTGTCTGACATGGTAGGACCTTGAGGAACGATTGTTCCAGCCAGTATAGCTCGGTTGCTTCATCACGATAGGCAAGCCCGACCACGAATCGAAGGCAGTCCTGATGTCAAGAAACACTACGATTGTTGGCCTTTGATAAGTATGGCGGTGTCCTAACATTTGGCGGAGGGTGAAGATATGATCAATACATCCTCGACCAGAACGAAACCCAGCCTGCTCCTCGCGAGTCAATCTTTCTCGGGTTTTGAACAACCTACAAAGTATGACAGAAGCCAATAGTTTGGACGCAATCGGAAGTAGACTTATCCCTCGATAGTTGTTACAGGAACGACGTGAACCCTTTTTAAAGATAGGGAAAACTATCGACTCATTCCATGACGTTGAAACACTCTCCAGTTCCCAAACCTTTGTAAACAACGTTGTCAGTTCCTTAGTCAGAAAGTCACCACCATCTTTAAAAAGAGCTGGAGGTAAGTCATCTGGGCCAGGTGATTTGTAACGCTTCAAGAGTTGGAGTTCCTTGCGGACTTCCTCCTCGTTTGGTGGATCAGTCTTCACCGGCCGTAGAGGGCAGGACAGTCTGACCGATGTTGCCGGAGCAGCAGGCCAGTTGAACTGCCCTTCGAAAAATTCTGCCCATCGTTTAAGACGTCGATGGATGTTAGTGATTGGTATCCCATCATCCTCGCAGATTGTTTCACTCACACCAGACTTCTTGCTGCCAGTGGATCGGATGAGTTGGAAGAGCTTCCGGTAGTTACCAGATGCAGCTGCTGCTTCCAGCTCATTAGCACGCTTCGACCACCAGGCTTCTCGGTCCTTACGCAAGCTTTGCCCAATTTCATTAGGTAACAGCATTCGTTTGTGGTCAAACTCACGGTCACCCGGAGTAGACCAATGGGGTTCGATGTGTTGTAGGAGCCTGAAGAAACCCAGTGCTTAAAAGCGGGACGTTTCGCGAACCCACAACTGACTGTACCCGCCATTTTCATGGCGTCGTGCAATTGCAACCAATGCTCATCTATACTTTTCGGTGGAATGGTAGCTAGCCTAGAAACTAGCTCGGTTCGATACTTAGTTACAACGGAAGTTGCAACCAACTTGCTAACATCAATCCTTTGGTGACGATCACTTCGTTGTCCACTGAAAAGTAAAGTAAGATTGACGTAGACCAGTACATGATCAGAGTCCAGATAGGCACTCCAAAATGAGCGGCAGTCTTGTACAAAACCACGCCAGCGGTAGCTGATCGCGATGTGATCAATCTGAGTCCAGGCTTTAGATGCAGAGGGAGGACGCCAGGTGGCACATCGGCGATGACTGTGCCGAAAGTTAGTGCTAGCCAGAAACAGGTTGTGGTCTGTGCACAGTTGCAGTAGACTGTCCCCGTTATCTGACCTGCGACCAACGAGTCCCTATCGGCCATCTAAACGACTCTCTTCTGTGCCTAGACGCCCGACCTGAGCATTCAAGTCTCCGGCTAGTACTACAATATCTGTCGAACGCACTTTCTGGAGAAGAACAGATAACTGGTGGTAGAATTCATCCTTGATTGCATCCGGGCTGCAATCTGTCGGGGCATAGGCGGAGATGACGAAAAGACATCGTTTCTCACGCCGATTTCTCACTTTGATGGAACTTTCTAATCTAACAGCACATAACCGACTGTTAATGGGGATCCAATCGACTAGTGCTGCCTCAGCTCTAGCGCTTAGTGCGACACCAACGCCAGCAAGACCAGACGAAGATGCCACAGGGTCCCCGGATAAGCGCACGTAAAACAAGCTTTTCGAAGCGACAGATGGAGAGCGAATTTGCAGTACTTCACCAGAGTCTTGAATACGGGTCTCGGATAGACAGCAGACATCGATATGAAGACTTTCCAAATACATAGCCAGCCCTATCTGTTGTCCAACCTGCATAAGTGTGCGAACGTTGAAGGCAGCCAGTTTGAATGGCGCACGTGGTTTCAGAAAAACTGCTTCAGTACTCATATTCGGTGGTAACATACAATTTTCAACCGGAAAGTGACACGAGAACGTTTAGATACAGTTGAATTTCCACCAAAGACGAGCTGCTGTATAATTCGAAAAATAAGGATACATAAACTGGGAATAAAAGAGAGTGAATAAATGACGTAATAAATAATAATGATAATAATAATGTGAATCTTTTGACTGTTAACCGAGGCAAGAAAAGTATTTTCCATAAATTGCGTCATTTCATTCTATGTTTGTGTGGGCTATGAAGCTGCCCGGGTGCCCAGACCGAAGCAGGTAGGGGGTCATATCCTGAGCCTTTGACCTAAAGGTCTGATTCACAAGGCAGCGGAGCATCGTAAGGAGATGCAATCCCATTGTAGCCGGTGACCAACGATTGGTTCATACGCCATTTGTTCCCTCAGGGTACTGGAGCCCATGTGTACCATTGGTTTGGGATCCGGTTAAAGGGCCGGACATTCGCCTTTCGTCTTTTTCGTAAACAACATCCGCGCCGTGAGAAGGTAGTGAGTAGGACTTCCCTGGCAGGGGCTACATATACTTGTGTACATGTGAAAGCATTCCACGCGGGAGGGAGGGCCCTCCCCCATCTCGGTCATACCAGGGGATTTGGGGGCGTCATCACATTTTAGGGCAGTATCATCCGCTTACTCATGGTGAAGGAATTCTTGAGGTAGATTTACACTATCATTATATACTCCCGTCGGAGTTGTTTCCAGAATGTTCGATGCGAAAAGTGAAGCGGAATGGTGACTGGGGGAAATACTGGTGGATTGTAGCAATGGATAGAGGTGGTCTTGAGGTTTACAGAGCTTCAAACAGACAGTCTCAGAGCGCAGTCCTGTCTGCCGGATCTATAGCATTCCCAATATTAAAAAAACGTAGCAATTGTTGGTACAGAATAAGGGTAGCTTTGCTCTAAGATCTTGTGAAGCGTGAATATATGATTGGTATATCTTCGACTTGATCGAAAACCAGCCTTCTCACAAGATGGTAGAGCAACGTTAGGAGATTCCATTTCATAGTGACTACTAATCAAATAGGTTCATACACCATTCTTCCCCTCAATATCCTTGACTCCATGTGTATCTCTGCTTTGGAATCAATGTTTCCCAACTTCACATGAAAATTCTCCGTATCCAATTTCCGTCAACAATACTCCTTCCGAGTGAAGACAATGAGCCGGAATTTTTCAACCACAGCCATAAGCATATGGCTGTATCAGGATGTCAAGAGAGATCAAGAGAAAGTGGGCAGAATCTCCCCAGCTTCGACCATTCCAGGGCACCTGATATAAAATTCTGTACGCAACATAAACTAAAAAGAGGTATTTGCCACGAACCTAAATAGCAAACTTAATTTACTAGGAAACTTCAGTGTTTAGGATCAAATGAAATATGTTAATGATTTTATTCTATAATTATTTAAGCTGATGTAATGAGATATAAGTGAATTGTTCATTCAAATTGGATAGAAATCACATTGTTCAATAATTCAATGATCATGAATAAAATTTAACATCTCTTTTTATTTGTACAGAGAGAAATTGAAGGCTGAAATTGCTCGAGATCAAGAAGAAAAGGTTAGTTAATTTAATTGTTTTGTCTAAATCAAATTTAATCTTCGTGAGAAAACCAAATGTTTCTGTGTGAATGGATAAATTTATCACTTACTAGCAATAAAAACCGTCAAAGTTCATTCGAGGTTAAATACAAGATAGGGACGTATCTCAGTAAGCGTATTACTTTTAAAATACTGAATGTTCACTTCTGACGAGCTGAAGGCTGAGAAAAAGTATTCGTTCATTCTTCTTGATCCTTTCTTCGTTGTTTAACTAGGTACTTTCTAGATGTTTATCTTTCGTGTAAATGGAAACCGAGTGTTAAACAGCCTTTTCGAGTCCTTGGAATTTTTTAAAGTTGGGTTTTATATTACTTTATCACTACTGTTTTTTCCCAGGACAAGTGAGATACAGTTCAACTGAATAACTCAACAACGAGGATTTAAATATAAACAAGTAAACACTGAACGTTTTTACTCACATCAACTGCTGATAATATTTACTGTAGGGTTACGTGCGTCCTTATAGAGTTATTTATGAAGATCTATTAATTGAAATGCATTCTTTATGAAAAATCATTTCAGTACTCACTGTAAGCTTAAAAATAACGAAACAACGTGTTGAGAGGAATCGTTCTTTTATCAGATTCTGGGAAATTTTTTAAGAAATAAAGCATTTCTCAATTACTTTATGTACGTTCTTTCAAATACTTAAGGCTACTACATGTTTATACGATTTGATGCGTATTACCTAGCAGTCTAGGTATAAATGGAGCGGATAAATGATGTTCATAAATAGTCTATATCTGCATGCATTACATAAATCTCTTCAAAGCAACTACAAAATCATTAGTCTCGGAATTTCATTAAATTAAACTTATTACCTCTGCTATACGGTTCAAATGGAGATTACCTCTTTGGGTGAACTTCATTGAAGATTTTTTCAGTAATAAAATTAAAGGTTTGAAAAACTGCTTCGCTTTGTATTATGATTTTGTATAAAATCCAGGGCACATGTTAATAATTCGTAATTGAGACACGTTAGCTGGGTGTATTTAAATCTCAGTGTTCACGCCGAGATTCTAATCCAGTGTACATCGCTTCACACACGAATGGGTTATCTGTTAAGCTAAGGAGTTCAGATAACTAATACATAGTTCAATGGGGATGGGTTTTTATTTTCCCATTGCTGATACTGAAGACTGCAATCGGTCAAAAATTTGTGTGTGAATGCCAATATTAAGATATTCGCTCAAGATGCACATTTTAACAGAAACTGATCAAATACGACCTTGAATGTCAGAAATAGAAAATTACAAACCCTTATTAAAAGCTTCGCTCAAGAATATTTATAGTTCTTGTAATGTTCCTTAGTATCAAAGTTGAAGGCCATTCTGAATTTGTGCAGTTTTTTTTGGATATCAGGAATATTGTACTAAAAGTTCTTTACTAAATGTGCGTTTGATTTGTACAATCTGGTGATGAACATTTAAAGTATTGACATTATACCTCGTCTTAGATAGCATTCAATCCTTTTCGGTTGTTGCAAGTATTATTTGATGGTGGTGATAACCTCAGTAATCAAACTGCTCGTAAGCTACTAGTATTTGACCACAGATGCCTCAGAAATATTGCTGGCGTATGCTGGGATCGCCGGGTAAGTAATAGTGAGGTTAGACGCAGGGTATTAGAGAAGGATGGTAAATCAGTCGATGAGCTTGTGAATCTTCATCGACTGAGATGGTTGGGCCACGTGCTACGTATGCCCGAACACCGATTACCACGACGTGCAATGCTAACCGGTGTTCGGGATGGTTGGAAGAAAGTTAGGGGCGGCCAAACCAAAACGTGGCATCAGTGCTTGAAGTCACTAACTTCTAGTCTGAGCCATGTTGGTAGATGCAGACTACTTGGTTGGGGTCCGCGTGACTGTCGTAACCAATGGTTAGAGACTCTTGGTGACATGGCTCAGAATCGATCACAATGGCGTCGGTGTATACACTCTTTATCTTCCCTTAAACTAAGAGATTAGAATTGCTTCATATCTTTCTTTCTACGAACTAATTCTTTCTTCCTGTACTATATCCTTATATGCAATCTTTCTTTGATATATTACTACCTCTGAATTAACTACTTTTATGAATCCGGTGTCCATCTTGTTGTGTTAATGAGGTATGGCAACTTGGACCGATGCATACATGTGCCTGGTCCTACGTTGTAGCTGACTGACTAACTGAAACTGCTTGTCATGACGTATTTATATCCAACGATAATATACGAAACTATTCAAACCATAGTATTCAGGGAATAGTTCGGTCGCGTTTCTCATAGTCTGTCTTAGTAGCTTAAATAAAACATATTTCTCAAAGTTATAAACATCTTACTACCGTGTCCTTTCCATTCACATGGTGCGACACATCCTTCATATATGTTTATTGCAACTCTACTACTATTCCGTGTTTTTATATGTTTCTTTGCTACACTTCTTGTTGATCTCCTCTCTCTCCATGGACTGATTGAAAATGTGAAAACTTACACTGATGCACATTTGCACCATCTGTTTACATCACGATGGATATTTTTGCACTTATTGTTACATCAACAAATTATCTACTGATATAACGGTTGCGTTGTTAATTAGGCTACCAAATATATCATAACTCAATGTTTCTATGTTGTTCATGGGTTGTTGAATAAAAATTAGTAAACAATAACTGTACATTGTGTCCTAATTGCAAGACATTTAAGGTAAACTTCTCTCGTTTTAAGAATATTCCGATATTAATGATGAAATGTGTTTGTAATCCGCCTAAACCTCACTTTTTATTCTAAGTAATAATCAGGTAAATGACGTACACTAACTTAAAATTCTGTTTTTGTAACTTTTATGCAGCGTGCACGTACAGCTAGTGAATTACCACTGATAGCTCCGTCAAATTCAACTTCTTTACCAACTGCAGTGCCGAAAACAAATCCAACAATTTGCCGTCTACACATTCGTTTACCATCTGGTCAGTCAATCAAAGGAGAATTCGGTGTCAATGAACCCTTAAGTGCCGTTATGTTATATGTTAGTCAAAATTGGCCTAATTCTTCAACTTTTATTGACCCACAATCTATTCAGCTGATGACTAGTTTTCCCAAACAAGAATTTACTAGTGAAGATAGAAATAGATCTCTTCTGGATTTAGGTGAGTTTAAACACTTTTAATACTCTTCTGTCTTTCATTCACAAATAGCATATAGAATAATTATAATGACTACTACACAGATAGATAGTGGCATTCATGTTTAACCATATAAACAAATTGTATTTTGATTTTTGAGTTATAAAGACTTAATATTTCTCATTATGGAATTGATCGATTCTTGTCAGGAAATTTCTCCTTGAAATACTAAACCTGATACCAACTGCAGCATGCAGGTAAGTTTATTTAAAAGACCTCAAATATAATCAAATGTACATTCTAGATTATATTACTGACCACTACCTTATAACGAAATAGACATTCATGAAACAGTTAAAAACTAAATCTAATCATGAACCCTTTTGGATTACAGTCAAACTAGACGTATCTGATGGACCTAATAAAGATTTATCATTGGAATGATTTACTAAAAATTCAGATGTATTGAGCTATAGCTTATAAAATTTTCACTTTAATGTAACCTTTATGTTGGTGAGTTTCTGGAAATGAAAGAAATCAAGAAGACAACATTGAGGATTATCGTTAAATTTTTTAACCTGGGCAAAATTTAGTTACATGTGAAAATTATATTTGAAATATTCTCAGCCATTGAAATTTAACTAATTCCAACGTTTCGTCCAGCTAACTTGTCTGGACTTCTTCAGGGTAATAATCAAAACCAAAATTATCAAAGAAATATATAGCTTTTAACAATTATACTGTGTTAAACCAATCATATTTGGAAGTTGATTTTTTGTAAAATAGGATAAAATGAGTCAGTTAGCTACAAAACATGTGAAGAATTCAACTACATGGAAATACTTAACTGAGTAACAAATCGTATGTGTGTGAGTGTATAGGTATGTATGTATGCGTGAGAGATTGATATGCAAAAATAAATAAAGTTCAAGTTCAAGGATGAAAAATTAATAATGAAACATCGATGTACATGTCAAAACATTAATTGTATTGTTTAAAAACTCATTGAATCCTTTCAAAAATAATAACGATGCATGTGATATTAAGAAACAGGTTTAAACAAGAGATAGGTTCCAAATTTACTTGTCAAACGAAATTCGCCAGGTACTTGCCAGTTGAATACCATCTTTTCGGTTCAGGCTGTTCTTGTTCGCCCATATATGCAGCGCTTCTGCTGTCAATTTTTCTTTATGGGTGTTAAAACCTTTCTGAAGTATTTTGGTCCCTTCAAAATTAATCTTGTGTCCTGTTTTTAACGCATGTAACGCTATCGCTAACTTATTTTCAAGTTTCTTTAAATCAACCGAGGATTTTGGAACATTTTTCAAGCATTGTTTGTGTTCCTTCAATCTTACATTCAATTGCCTGGATGTTCCTCCAACATAGGTAGCATTACAGTCGTGATAGTGAATCTCATACACAATGTTCTGTTGTTCTTCCTTTGCTAACTTGTCCTTAACTTTCACTAATGTCGATCCTAATGTGTTATTCGCTCTAAAATACACTCTTATATTATGTTTGTTTAGAGTCCGTTTGATTTATTCTGATGTTTCACTACGTAAGGTATGACTACGGTGTACTTCCATTCTTTTTGTATACTTTCTAGTTTAGTTTTTCTTTCATTTTTAATAATCTTCTTTAAAAACCTTTTTGGGTAGTTGTTATCCCTAAGAGTAGAAAATACTTTATTTAATTCGGTTCGTTGGTCTTCCTTGTTTGTAACAATCTTAGTACTTCTGTTCATTAGATTTTTTACCACATTAATTTCCGTGCTCTGTGAGTGGGCTGAATTAAAATCCAAGTATCTCTCGGAATGTGTTGATTTTCTGTAAACATTTATCTTTAACTTCTTATTATTGTGTCGACGTTCAACCGAACAATCTAGAAATGCTAGTTTGTGGTCAACTGATTCTAATTCCTTAGTTAGTTTAATGTTTTCAGAAATGCTGTTTACATTGTTAAGTAGTTCTTGCAGACCATCCCGTTTATTTATAATAAAAATATCGTCTACATACCTTAATTTAATTACTTTATACTAAATTCATTGGCTAGAAATATTTAGGTATACGATTCATTATCAAATGTTTATTGGTCAGTACGAAAATGTCGTTTAAAGCTTAAATCTAGCGAAACATTAACCGAAATACATATTTCCCCGAATATTTGTATTTATGATTGAAAGATTTTATTGTTCACTAACTACATGAAAAAGTTCTTAGTTATTGTCCTGGTTATTAAGCTTTCATGTACTATTTTATAGGAGTTTTAAATACTCTATAGGGATTTATTAAAATAAATGGTTTAAGATGACACTATCACCTATTACAGTGCATATATATATTTGTATCCTCTTACTATTCCACACGATGAATTAGACAGTAGAAAGATTTATTGAAGTTCTTTCAGCTACCCCATATATTAAGAAATATGGATATCAGTGTAAGGTTTTGTGGAGGTTGTAGAATTTAAATGGTTTTGAAGCACGAACTGATCGCAAATGGAATACCATTACAGACAAGGAAGCACTGTAGAGCATCCACTGCATCGCCGCAGGGGACCGAACTTGAGACTGAACCTATAGATTACTAAGCTGGCCTCTAATGGTACACCTGTCTGACTTTAGTCAATTCACGATATTCTGTAATCATCTTCCATTGTCTGAAGTGGTTAACCTTCTCAAATCGAAAATGGCTGAACTACGCTGATTACGACTTTTCATTTAAATTCCATGAATTGCATCTTAAAGCTAGTATGGGTTGGGAAGTTAGTGGAAATTGTAGAATTTTCAGTACCTTCTGTTTTTCAATGGTGATCTAAGGTCAGTTCGTGATTTAAAACTATGAAAATATGGATATGTTGTAATTTCGGGTTTCATTGTTTTTTGTTTTATGATGATAACATCAACAATTTATCATGAGATATTGAATTACTAATATTATTCTCTTTCGTTTCTTATTGTTTAGGCCTGTGTCCATCTGCAGTTTTGATGGTTCGACAAATACCCCAATAAATACAATTCCATTTTATTTCAACCCTATATATATATATACTTGTACCCATAGTCACTTTCGGATAGACCTATTTTGATAATTAAAAATGGGAACCATTTTATGTAAAGCTAACAATGTTGAATATTCATTTGTTTTTTATTTCCTTTTTTTTCCTGTTAAATTGGTCTATATCTGTACTCACCTAATCGTGAGAGACAGTGCTATGACTGTTGTTGTTGTCTTTTGAAATATTTTCTTCTTTGCATGTAAAGTGAAAAGTTGATATATGCTTCTAATAGTAATAATTATTGTAATATAAATCACAATTTATCGGAAATTATGTGATTGAAGGTGACAGATTTGAATGAGGCTTAGTGATTAAGGTATTTAACTTCCAGCCACTAAGTTACGTTCGAACTCCTCCAACCTATTTCGATATAAATGATCAGTTAGTATAATTAGCCCTCGTACTTAGAGTGTAGCTCATACTCGAATACATGGTGAATGAGTCTATTTATTCTCGTTTCTCGTATTTGATCCTATTTTCTACCATCTACATATCCTATCAACTTTCTTTTTCTTTGCTGGTTTGAGCCTTGATGACTAAGATCGATACACATTTGTACTAGGTTCTACATTGTTTATGATGAACTGATTAATTCGAAATGGGACGGGACTTATCCACACTTGATCTTCTGTTGTTTATAACTATAATAGTCTTTGACTGAAAAGGAAATATACTAATTGATTTCAAGATCATTTTTGTAAATCGTTTTCCCTAACTAACAATATTTATTTATATAACACTTATACCGTACTGAATAACTACAAGTTTCGGGATGTAAGATTTTGATGATCGTTTAGTAATATGATCATTTCAATGTGGATGGTTTTTAATCGTCTTAAACTCGAGTTTGCATAAGAGTATCTGTATAAGATTTTTCCTTTGCCGTGAGCAAACTCTTATATGCAATTTTATTTCGCTTCGATCTCAGAATTTTTCATCTGGGCTCTTCATCGAGCGCAGGTTTACCCACATCCTTCATTTTTATGTAGTGTGTTGCATAGCTGTGAAGTAAACTAAAGGAGACCACCTCAAAATACTCTACATTTCGATAAATCATCGTGCATCTCTGGTACCAAAGTCAACGTAGATTAACAAGTGCCAAAATAACAATTTACATTCATATCGTAATTCAGTTAGTGACCAGTAGCGTAGAGTCGATTATTGTATAGTAATTATTTCTGCAGCATCCTGTCTCCTACAGAGTTGCGAAACGCAGCAAAATTCTCCGGAAACGTTTTCATCGTATCGGGATGTTTATCAAATAGGAATGTGTTACGTACTCTATGTCGATAGTGACTTAGCTAATCTGGGAGAAGTTTGGATCAGACCAAGTCATATTTGTCGGTGTGCTTGCATATATGGGTCTAGATAGTATGTTTATTAGTACAGTGGTTCTTTTCGTTTTTGTTGTCATACTCCATCAAACTTCTCGTCACTAAAAAAGAAACGCAATTTCGGGTAAAGCAACTTGATTAATTCAGGACATCGTTTAGTGTTTTTGTATTTGAGGACCTGACAAAGGGTAAAAATATTCTTCAATACCTCCAATCCAGGCGTTAAAACTGACTCCTTTTAACGGCCTTATTGTTCTCAAGCTCCACTTATGTGTCCAATGGTTATGAACGGTTGGTTTTTTTGAACTATTGGTTGTATTTATCTGTCTATGGTGGTTTCTGAGGGGATTAACCCTTTATTATCTGTTATATCCGAACGAAAAATAAATGGATGGTAACTTCTTGAAGTTATTTATGTTCTGCTATTACATATATCATTGGGTAATTATTGAGAAACTGGATTGTATATATATATTTGTATTCCTTTTATCATAAGCTTTCACTTGACCTATAGGCTACTTGTTATATGATTTACCACTCTTAATTTATTCTCAGTCTATTGGTTACAGTCTCCTGCACTCACAGTCGCTTTTCGTTTGGTTTTGTATGATTTTCATTTTATGGTGTGATGTGGTCTGATCTGCTTGTATATGAACCACGTATGTCTGGAAGTATATGATTCATACAGTGAAGGCTGATATTTGTGTCCCGGACTGATGGGGCTGTGTTAGGCGAGAAGGACCAATAAAGACTGAGATTTGACTCAAGGCTGCCTGTATTGTTATGACGTATGATTAGTTTCGTATGAGTACTAGGTCGTAAAAGTCGATATTCTGATTGGCGGTTTTGTCACGTAATATTAAAAGGTGGTTTGCACATACTCCGAGAGTTTATTGAGAACGCATATTTTTAGACAATGGGATGAACAACTATTTCATTTTAAGATAGTTTCTTTACTACATTTTTAGTACCTATTTGACTGCGGCGGAGTTTCCTATTTGGCTTCGTATACAGTCGTTGACTGGTCACATTAATTCAACTCAGGATCAAAAATTGGATACGAAATTCTTCTAAAAACTTATTTCGTACATTCTTATCCTCAGACAAGCTTTTGAATTGGCTACACGTTTACCCTTAAAATAATTTTGTATCGCAGTTGATGCAGTCACGGATTCAGTACGACGAACAGAAACGTAGACATGCATACAATTTCGTGTAGATACAAGGAAAATGTTTATCTGTAAAAAGTTATTAATTTTATGAATATGAAAGCAATACTATTAAAGGAAGTAATCGGGACAATTATGTGGTGTTTAAAATAACCTATGAGATTAAAGCGATACTTCTGAAAGATGTTATATCTGGCTAACACTTCGAGTAGGTGAGTAATCTGAATAACTACACGTCTAAGTGACTACAAACTATCATTTAAATCTGTCGTTCCCCCCATCCACTTCCGTCACCTACTGATGTTTCTTGTATAGAATCATTCATTTTATGCTTATGTTGCTTTCATTCCTTATCTAGGAGATAGGTTTAGATTATTCTATGTTCTCATTATGTCTAGCTGATTTCATCATGGAATCTGGCTTACCTAGAGTTTCCGAATGACACCTGGGCACAATTGCCAGTAGGCAGTTCGTTTGTACATCTTGATGGGTGAACTCTTAAATCATTTTATCTGATTGTTTGAAGCAGTTTCATTCTCGTTCTATTATTTTGTATGACCTTTGCGTGTTCATGCTTGACAGCTTTTTGTGTAACCTCTAACTGAATAACTTTTTTCTGGAGGTTATTTGAATAAAGGCTTGAAGAAAGTTTACAAACAGTTTAAAAATATTTTAATTCATTTTGTATTGGTTGTTTGAATTTTCCCATTAATGTTTAGGACTTCAGTCGAACAGTCTCTTGTTGGCATATATGTATCCTGCTCGGATTGCCTCGTTATTGCCTTAAATAATAAGCAGAGATGGAGGATGGCTAGCATTGGAATCCAGGACTCCGTTTCCTCCTATTTGAGACTCGTCAGCTGGATGTGCACTGTAAAATCCATAAATGATAGCATTCTAAGCAACTAAAATATTGGTAGTAATCAAAGTCATTCTGTGTTACTTAGATTGATATTTTAGAGTATATTCGATGGTTTGAGTAAAGAACCTTTCCATTGAGACCATGTTAGAATATAATAATTCTACTTACATTCATGCACTGACTTCGGATAAACCAACCTAGTTTATATCAGTTTTAATCTTTTAATTTGGATGATACTTGGTATTAAAATAAATAATGTAGACAACTATTGTAGTGAAGGAGAACACAGGTAAGGACAACCGAATTATATTTAGCACATTACAGAGTTACTTGGTAAAATAGAAAAACCATACTATAATACCCAATTTGCAAAATGTACAATAATTGTCTCGGACTTCATTGTTCTTGCATTTCTATACTAATTGCTTTCTATTCTCATTCTTCCTTTATGGATCTTCCCAATCTTCTACTGCCAGACATTCCTGACTCGCGTTATATACTACTTATGTCAATATAAGTAGCACGCAACACACTATAGCTAAGGCTAGTTATCAAAAAGTCAGTTGTACGCATTTGGGTAACAATTCACTCTTCAATATTATAAACGGTTATTCTTCCAACAAAGATATTCTTACAGTTTATATATTTATTTGATTTTATATACATGTATTACAAATCTTTTAAAAAGCGAATAAATTTTATGCCTGAATATATCCTCAGAAGCAACCAAGCTTTGTTTTTTTACCTTTGTTGATCATTAACATAACTATGTAGGTTGTTTGAGTTGATGGGCATTTAACAAGCTAAAGGGGAATATGATATACTATATACAACAATAATCAACAGGTATGTTGTAGTTTTGATATGATCAAAATATCGACCGTCTATTTGTAATTAAAATTAAAATGGTGTTCCAAAAATAGTATGGATTTCTAAATGTACATGGTGATCTTGAGACTTTCGTTTAGATCTTAAATAAAATGGAGCATATGTGTTATTGAAAATTTTCAGATTAGTACAAGGTATATGTTATTTTTAAATATATTGAATCTTTTTTTAATATACCTTTCATATTCTCAGTTCTTACTCAGGATTATTTGTATTTTCGATTCAAATTTCAGTGATCTACTTGCCATTTATTCGAATCAATTAACTAATTTAATTTTAGTGTTTGATAGATTATTATTATTATTGCTATTTGGTAATGGTTATCCGTATGATTTGAGATGATGAATGCATCTTGTATTAGTTTGACTCAAATGCAGTGAGCAGAAAGATCTTTTAGTGAAAAAGTTCTGGTAACACAAATAAATCATTTGGATTTCTGGGTGTTCAAAAAACCCGAACAATATCAGAAAGGGCGTTGATACTTATCGATATTGGTTATCTGCTATATTGTTAAGTACCTGAAATATAGTTTAGACAGTCTGTTATGACTTGAGATCGCTGATCGATAACACGTGGTTAAGTCCCCAATCCGAATTCTAATTATAAATTTTTCTGTTCCACGTCTACTTATTTTATCGCTTAATGCCCTTGACTTAACTAATCGTACGTCTGATCTACATCTTTGACTTTGAACTGACGCAAACCTGTTGAGTCGGCTTTCCGAGAACTTCAATGGAGCCTCCAGAGGCCCTAAAGGAGCCGAGGAGTTCTAGCCAATCAGAGCATGATGGGGCTTTCTGGAGTGTCAACGTGGCGTGCTACTATTGGTCAGTAGCATAATATGTCTCTTAGCGGATTGGCCAAAATATGATGTTGATTTAACAAATGTTAACACCTATAAATACCCATGTTTTCTGTACAAAAATGAACCATGGATTAAAGTACTTCTCGCATACTTTGCGTCTTCTCCCTGTTCAGGTCGCTGTATAGTTCTAGCTTTGGAGTTACAGAATAGCTTAGGAACCGAATAAAGCGTTCAAATGAACAAGACTTATCAAAACCAAGCTCCTATTGATCAGTTATCTGTAAGTCCTTTATCTATTGCCTTCAGTTCAAGGAAAAGTCAGCAGCCAGCATATATTACACTCAGTTTAATCATGACTTAAAACTCATATAATAATATAGAGTAAAATCTCGATCATAAATCAATATGAAAAGAAACTGAATAGTAGATCCATAATAAGTTAATAGTAACTTAGAACAGTATAACATACATCAACATTTTATAAATCACAGAAAAGTCTACTAGCAGGAGAATACAATAATTAAAGAATAAAAATATAAATAATAATTTCAGGTAAGAGAGTTTTGAAAGTTCAAATTTTCCTATACTCGTCTTGTGCCAATTCTTTAGAGAATCTTAACAAATTTATTGCTTTTTTTTTGGTTAGATATATCACATACAATTAGTAGAAGATATTTTGTAAACTTAGATTAATTGATTATTAAACAATAATTAATTACATGTTTAGTTTTTGGGGTTGATCGAATTTTATCAATCAAATTATGGCCAATTAACTAATTGAATATGATTTTATTATGATCCTGTTAAGATTTCATTTAGATCATTTTCAAACAGTCATTTTATCTAATTGTTTAATGTTAAAATAAAATTTATTTTCTTATAGACCTTTTTTAAATCTTATCATTGTCACTAAATCATAAGTCTACTATAATTGTCCAGTTTATACTTATATCTTTAATGACAAGGTGGCCTATGCTTCATTGAGAGTAACAGGCGTAAGTAAGTAAGTAAGACAGCCTGCTTGAACATTTGGGCTACCTGTGTCCTGCCATTTGAATATTTAAACAAGTTTTCTGTTTTCCTGTTTGTTTTAACACTTCATTATGCCTATTAGTCGCATAACCTATTCAAGTACGTTTGTGAAAAGTTTACGACATTTCACTGTACAAGTTACAAAAGAGCCCAATCAGAGACAACGTGGTTGCTGGTAATATGCATCGAAAAGAATATCCATTAATCAAATGTCTATTCCTGAACTGCTAACATCTAACTGGCGACCACTCAAGATTCATCTCAAGGGTCGATCAAGAAATAAGAGAAGTAAACTTGTTGAAATACTAGTTTCTGAGAATCCTTTATTATACGAGAAATATAATATTGAATAAAGCCAATAATAATAATACATGAATTGAACAACAATATTGATGGTGTCAGAGCGAATAATAAAGAAAATGTAATTCTTGAGAACAATTTACGGTTTACTGTCATTTATATCTTGATTGTTTAGTAAGCAGATAACTGTGTTATTGTACTTCTATATTTTCTTGTAAAATTCCAGTGAACCTATTCATTATTGTTATACCTTTTACCTACTGTATGACTATTCAAAGTAGGATTTCTTTATTTGAGTGCTCTGTAGTTCGATAATTCATGTATATAAGTTAATAAGTGCTAAAAATAAGGTCTAGGTGGTTTAAAGTATCATAATAGAAGTTTGGTTTCTGTCTACTCCTTTCAGGCTCAAGGCTGAGGATAAAAGAAGGCATGTGTATTGCCGGACCAATAAGAATCAAGCTTAAGCTGCCTCAAGGTTATTCGTATAGGTCGTAACATATCATTGGTTAAAGCTAAGGATATAAAATGTAGACGACATAGCATACACACTGTGTAAAAGAATCGTCGGGATTCTGATTAGCGAATTTTGCAAACGATATAGCTTAATGTCTCAAACAATTTCATTGCTAAATGGATGAAATGTGGTGAAGTGTTACTAAAAAATATGGTGACTCCCATTGATATAGAATAGTAAATAAGTACATCGAAAAAAAACAGTCTATAAGTGGTAAAATCGATTTATTGATTTATCTACTATATATATATCATTCATTATTTTATTGAATTGGTTTACATTCGAAATTGTAGAATAGATCCCAGAAAAATTGATACCTATGAAATTGTAAATGCATTCACTTGAATCAAAACAAATCTTGTTTTAAGTTCCAGCATCTTATAATAGGCTACTTTAGATTGCATATTATGTTGACCGCAGAACTAAATTTTTTTTAAACAAAGGTTATTGAGCAATATAAATTCAAATATTAACTTAATTAATTATTTCTTAGCACATATACAACGAATATTTTTTAAAATTATTTATTTAAACAATTAAACATTCGTACAATGAGGCACCAAACAAATATGTGCCACATCTAATTTATGTGAGGTCTGGGATACTGCCTAGATGCACAAACCGAAACAGGTGGTTCCTTACGGGGCTACATCCCGAGCCTTTAACCTAAAGGTCTATTCCACAAGGCAGTGGAACAGCGTCGGGGGATGCAGTCCCATGATAGCCGGTGACCAACAATAACTTCATACTCCTCAGGATCCTGGAGCCCATGTACACCATTGATTTGGAATCAGGGCTTTCCAACTACCCCTTTCGTCCTCTCAATCTCGTAAATAACACCCCTGCCGCGAGAAGGCAGTGAATAGGACTTCTCTGTCAGTGGTTGTACACACGTGGACATTTGACAGCATTTCGAGAGGGAAAGCTGACTCTTCCAACTTTCAGTTGTACCAGGGCCATCGGGAGTAAGTTATTTTAAGAGAACATTTTAAATTCTGATTATTAAACAACATATTTGATAGAAACCCTTTTTTCACAAAAAACAAATTAGCTATCATACAAATCTCGCAGTTTATCTCATATTTTTTCCAAAAAAAAGAAAAACAAACAGAAAGAAAGAAAAAAACAATCAATCACAACTGAATAAACTTTGGATGAAATTGTGATTTGTTACATTTTGACAAGTAGATAAATATTTCATTATAAATAACTATTAAAATATACTTGGCATATCTATAGAACGGAAGATTATTTCCGATTCTTTTTTTGAAAAAATCTATTTTTGGTATCTTACAGTGAAAATTTCAAATACATGTGTGTGTGTGTGTGTGCATACATATACATTGTGCACATTTGACATTTGATAGATCTTTAATGAAATAATAATGATTGTAATGTATATATATATATATATATATATATATATATATATATATATACTAATCAGAATAAATGCATTTCCTTTGTTGCTTTGAAAGATAAAGTAATAAATATGACCTAGTTTATTTAAAAATGGTGTTGGTAAAGTGATTTTCTTTCAGATATCATGTTTTTCACATTGTTAATGATTAATAGTACAACAAATCTGGGAAAAAAAGATTTCTACTTTTTTTTTCTTTCGATTATTTATAGTAGATGACAACTATCTTATTCAATTTATCTAATTTTTTTTATCAACGGTGAGCATTTAATCAATTCCTCACCTTTTTAGTGATAATCATGTTAACTACTTTAATAATAATAAGTAGCACAGTATAGTTAGTTTAAAGCAATTAGTCCCTTTTATAAATTTCGATAGAACAATGAGAAGACGGAGTTTATCTGGAAAATGTGATGTATTTGAGCTATACATTTCGAACAATCTGGTCACACATATACTTGTCAAGACATTTTTATATGAAAATTAATTAAGGTCAAACAAATAAAAGTACAATTAAAATAACTAAGGGGAGAGAAAGAATAAGAAATTGTCTCGTTATCCTAGGCCATAGAATGACTTAAGGATTACCAAGGTAAATTCAAGGTTACGACAAATTGTTTTTGCACACATAAGGGGGGTTTAAATTTACGAATAGTCAAGGCTTCAATAAACTTAAGAATTCGTCCTTGACAATTTCTATACAACGTTCTAAAAGCTGTATTAATGTCAATTTTGTGCCCCGTTTCAATTATATGTTTTGCTATCGATGAACTTGGTTTTCTACCTCCTACATTGATCGGATCATTTGACATACATTGATTTTGAAGCCATCTAGGCACATGTTCATTGACCCTTGATTGCATTGTGAAGCGATCTATTTGTTTGACCTTTATTAATTTTCATATAAAAATGCCCTGACAAGTATATGTGTGACCAGATTGTTCGAAGTGTATAGCGCAAATACATCACATTTTTCAGATAAACTCCGTCTTCTCATTGTTCTATCGAAATAGTTAGTTTAAATGACTAAAATCCTACAAATGGATGTGGTGCAATATGAAACTAAAAAGACAAATATTATAATTTTATAATTCTTGTACAACTATATCTAATATAAAAATTTATCACATAAATTACTTGAGTTACAGATGATTATGAAACGCAAATGATTTTTATTACATTTGTAAATCTTCTTTGTTAACTGTTGTTTACCGTGATTTTCTCCAATTTACTTCACACTCTCATTTATTTTGGGGATTTTATTCGTTTAGATAAAAATTTCAATGAAGATTCTGATTAAAGTAGAGTTGACAGAGTTAATTAAATCAATGATAAAATCAAATATATATATATATATATATATATATATATATATATATATATATATATAAATGGTAACTAAGATTTTGATTTCTTTTTTTTAGATTTTGTAACACCTATACGTCGTCCTATTCTTTTCATTTTTGCTGTAACCTCTTCTTCCATTAAATTGAAACACATTGCAAATAAAGATAGACCAAGAGCTACATAGACTGCTAAAGCAATCATCTTTTCTTTTGGATTTTGTGAATCAATCTTTGTACCTGGAAAATAATAAATTTGAACACATTGATAAATGTTATAGGATAAATGAGTAGATAACTAATCAAGATGTAATGTGAAAAAATATCAATGATGAATAATTTCGACATTATCTCAGGATTTTTTACATATCGATGTTAATTTACTCTGTAATTAAGCCTCATACAGAAAAAAACGTAATATGTATATATCCTCCTTCTAACAATCACCAAATGAACGTGATGTCATTTAATCCGATTTCTGTAGAGATCTATTCAATTTAATCTCGGATCATTACTCTTCTATGCATATGCTGCAGAACTACTAAATTCAGTGAATCACCCAATATTTTTACATACTAATTTTAGAATACAAAGCTCTCAAGTTTATTGACGGGTATGATTCTTGTTAGATATGGAGTTGGAATTTAAACGTTTACCATCCCATACACTGATCAAAAAATATTTTTCAATTCCGGTGAATTTCATACTAGCTGACATTCTCAGACAACAGTTGAAAATTACTTAGTCTATGGAGAATTCACTTGACACCGTCAGGAAAATAAAAGAATTGCCAATGACTTGATTTCTATGAATAATAACTATGAAGGGCTCTGTTTTTAAGTCTTTGCTATACTGCGTCACTTGGGATTAATTCTCTCAAAGAGATAAAGCTTCTATGAGATTTTAAACGTTGTTTACTGATAAGTATCAATCAATACAAAAACGCCGTTCATAATCCTCGGCTAATTATTTAGAAATACGTAACGAGGTGGGCAGCGGTATCGAATTACTTAATTCAATAGCTAAATAGCAAATCTGATCTGATCATCCCTAAAGACCATACAATGTAACACCGAATGATATCTCGTTATTTATTAGTGTAGTGTTTTATTTGATTGAGGATTCCGTTGACTATATATCGAAATGGAACCTAATATATTTAAACTGGGGATCAAAAATTAATGTTGAGTTATTTAGCGATGCCTAAATCTAAGGTCCGTTACTTACTGATGGGTAACTATTCTGGAAATTTATTTCTAATGTGGTCTTTTCAGTATAAATTTGCCATGAGATCTAAACTATTCAGTGCATTACTCATCAATTTGATGAACTCCAAAAACTAGCTCCAGTTAGATACCAACGGCATAAATAACAACTCTATAATCTTTTCTCAAAAAGTATCCTTGATTTGGTAGTGTACGGGCAAAACACTTTTCAAAATCAATAGCTCATAGTGTTGAGCACTAGAGACTGATTGTTATATTTCGACAAAACGGTTAGAATTTAGTGTTTTGCTGAATTTATTTTATTTATGTGTATTTCCAACATTTTAAATCATTGTGATTTGTCAAGAAATTTTTTGTGTTACATATACTGACAGATATTTTCAAATGGCTGTCCATTTTCAGGTTAGTAGCTGTTTAGCTTAAGGTTATGAAGTAGACATTTGACATGTGGAAATGTGTTCAAGTCGAAGATTTCTAGAAGTTCTGCATAGACGTTGTGGACTCTGGAATTGACTTTTCTCAAGGGTTGTAATTGTTATCGAATACAATGAGTTTTTTGTGTCATATTACAAACTAAATGATTGTGAAAGAATGAACTAACAGATTGCAACTTACAGAATTAAAGCCAACATGTTCATTTTCAGATCTGAAGTTATTGGTTATTCTCTAGTATGAAAGGGCGTATATTTACTATCGAAGTGTCTCCAAGTAAATCAGTTAGTTATAATTGGAATACAGCCTGGTACGAATGTGTGTCAGCTGATGTTCCTGCACTGAATCAGCACAAAAAATGAAATTAATAAGCCAAATAACAGGAGGGTTGAAATAATCAAAGGATCATTGATAGTGACAAGAACTAAAGATTGGAGAATCCAGTTTGAAAAGAAGGGAAGAATCCGAAGAATATGAAGCATCAGAGAATGTTGAAGTTCAAGAAAAGATAGGGAATAAATTTAACTGACTCTTTGTTACTGATTCTGTGTCATTTCATTCAGTATCTATTACCAAAGGTCATGGTTGTTATCTGAACTCAAACAAAATAGACTCCACCTATCATATGGTGTAGCTCAGTAGTTAAAAACTTGATGATCTGATGCTGTCTTAGTTTGAATTTTTCTAATTTTCCTCCAACCTGCCTCCATTCTAGAAAGAATTGCATTCGTAGTCGAAAGAAATGGCTGTATAGCGCTTCCTGATTCTCCGGATTATGTGATGAAATACATCTTTGAATTCGACGGATATCAACAAACCATCTGTCTAGTTTATTTAGAACAGTTATCAACATTATTGCATGAAAAGAAGACAGACTAACGGAATAGGCAAATATAATAAACATCTTGCAATGTGATCAAATGTAACGATTTATTGTTGCATCGAATAAAATGTCATGGGCTGGTGCTGTTATACCATTTTACGACCATGATACGACAGATCTGAAACAAGTAATAGAATCACATAGATACAAAGCATAGTATTCAACAACCGATGCTCTTCGAAGTAATTTAGTTCGAACAGAGCAAAAGAGTTGCTTTACTTCTAAACAGTATAGTTGGATGGTAGGAGTGATTTGGAGCACATGTGTGTTTTTTTGTTGAGTTTTCTGAGCTGGGTGGTTTAATTTCTGAGCTTTCATAGTCGTTCTGGACGCCACTGTTAGCTCTTACTTCATGTAGAATTGGACTTTCTAGTTGTTCAACAGGTTTTAAATCAAATTGTTTTGGTAGCCTTGACTATGAGTGGATTTCCTCGTAGATTTCATTGTCTTTAGTTGTTTACGTATTCAAGTCGGTTATTGTATTCCGTTGACCTTTGATCGGGTTTCTGATTGACTTTTTTCGATTAGTTTGACAGATTGGACTTAATTTAATGTGTCTATTGATTGCTGATCTATTTAAATACCACCATTCCGGAAATTCTAAAACATTCTGAAAATGCCTACGACCCAGAATTTCGACATTTCTTCAGTATTATTCATGTCCTCATTTGTCTGTATGTAATAATATCAGTTATAGGTAATCATGTACCTTCATTGACAGATTGTGTTCGTGTATGCCTAAGTGAAGAGGTCATCCACTTCTTCTAATGTAATGTTTCTCATTTTTTGTACGATTTGCTTTGTATAGCAGTTGTGTCATTAGGTCTAGATTAAATGATGTGGATTAACTGTATTGTTTCATGAGAGATATTTATTCCAAAAGGTGATTTCTGAGATGTATTTCACAACCAGTGCATAAGATATGATGTAACTTAGAGAAAATAATCTTTACAGAAAATCTAATTATAAATGTAAATTTCTTCCTTCCTATAAATTAGATTTGAACTATTTATAATTACTACGAAACACGAAAAATGAAATTGCATGATTCTTAATAATCTTATCAAACCACATGTTCCACATAAAATGAATACCATAATCTAAAGTTGAAACCCACAGTAAAAGAAAGATGAATAATGAGTTTTTTTTTTTTTAGAACAAATTCCAAATATTGACATTTTGCCGAATCAAAGCAAAACAGAATACTAGTGACCTTATCAACAGTAAATTAATTATCATTATTTCTGAGTAGAATATTTCTACTTATCAGTAAATCAAAGGAATAAATATTAAGGCTAATTCTTTGTAGAATAAAAGTCTGAATAAGTTAGTCAAATGAAAAATTGAATCACTGAATTATTATTTCATAAAATATTTCCGGATTAAGATCATGAACTGATTGATGTTAGACCACCGTTGGAAACACTGGACGGCCGTTTCGTCCCATCGTGGGACTCCTCAGCAGTGCGCATGCACGATTCCGCTCGTGGGATTTGAACCCAGGGCCTTCAGTTTCGCGCGCGAACGCTTAACCTACTGGACCACTGGGCCGGCATCCAATGATCCAAATGTTTAACATCAACCGATCCGCGAAATCGTACGACCACCTTCCATTGTACTGAGGTAAATACCTGTCTCTACCCTACACAAATTAGCTCCACTGGTCACGACTTCTCAATAGGACTCTGAAAATTCCTTCACAAATTCCAATTATTGACATTTTACCGAATCGAAGCAAAACAGAATACTAGTGACCTTATCAACAGTAAATTAATTATCATTATTTCTAAATAGAACTTTTCTTATGAAAAGATTTCTAATTGGCAGTAAATCAGATGAATAAATACTAAAGTTACTTCTTTCTCTTAAAAAAATAACCAAATCTTTCGATTACTTCTTTGTAGAATAAAATCCTGAATAAGTTAATCAAATGAAAAGTTGAATCACTGAATTATTATTCCATAAAATATTGTTATTTAATCACTATGGATAAACAATATTCACTTGAATTTTTATTATAAAATTAAATTTGGACATAGTTATTTTAATGTGATCCATATTAGTCGTTTATTTATCGATTAGAGCATCAAATGAGTACAACATATTCAGGAAGAAAAACCTCGCATATTATGGATACACAGAGAGAGAGAGTGAGAAATAGGTGCGAATCAGTCAAACAGAAAACTGTCAGACAATCATCAATAACTGTAGAAATCTATTTATTTATTTATTTGAAGACATAAATACGATTGGTTCATACTCCATTCGTTCCTTCAGAATGCTGGAGCCCATGTGCATCTTTGGCTTGGAATCAGGGTTTTCCAATTCCCGTAGGTGGACTCTTTATGTCCACCAACCCGGTCAAAGCGCCAGACACTCGCTTTTCGTCCTCACGATTGTGTAAACAACACCCCCGCTGTGAGAAGGCAGTGAGTAGGACTTCTCCGACAGAGGCTATATACGCGTGGCCATGTGAGAGCATTTCGAGAGGGAGAGCGGATTTCGCACTCTTGGCCGTACCAGGGCCTTTAGGGGCAATAACTGTGGATATGTGATGTATGTTATAACGTATCGACTTCCTAAAGAGCATAATCTGTAGAATTTTTAATTAAGAATTTTCGATATACTAATGAGAAGTTGTCATTAATCTGTTACTCTTTATGCTTCCTTATTTAATTCCAGGTAAATTTACGGGTTGGTACATTTTTATTCTTGAGTAAAGAAAAATCACTTACTCCGATAGTTTATTTTCGTACTATTAAAGTTGAAAAATATTCCATGAGAAAACAGATCCACATCTATTTACTCTTACTTTAACTGTGATCTGTTTTAATTATTAATGCATTTCTTAGGTATAGAAAACCTTTAAAAAGTAATTCAAGAGAGAAATCCCTTTCAACGAACTGAAAGGAGATGAAGTGTTATTTATTGGTTTTTTCCTTCAAAGATGATGATCAGTTAATTTCAGATAGATCTTTTAGTTTTGAATAAAAATACACTTTTTATAGTGAAGAAAACTATTGCATATATTTATAATGATATGATATGATTTAGAATTAAGAAGTATTCAGTACCTTTTATTCCAACAAGCTTTAAGAGTGTCTAGTATATTGTAGCCATGGTAATTAATTAGTATACAGTTGAATTTATGAGTCGATCTAATTTATACCACCATGGGAAACATTGGAGCTCTGGATGGCCGTTTCGTTCTAGTATGTAACCCCTCAATAATGCACATCCACTATCCCACACACTGGACTCAAATCATATGCTCACTAGTGACTGGTTTCAAGATGGATTTCTTGAAGTTCTAGTGAGGAACCGTGATCAGTGGAGTTCAATCTGTGTTGGATGGAAACCGTTATCCACTTCAGACAAAGAATGGAGGGCTGGGTAAGATCACTGATTAATTGACGTTAAACATTAACACCGTCGGATGCCGACTCAGTGGTCTGCAGGTTAAGTGTTTGCGCTAGAGACCGAAGGTCCCCGGTTCGGATCTCGTGTTCAAGATTATGAATGTGCACTACTGAGGAGTATCGTACTGGGACGACACGGTGCTTCAATGTTTTCAGTGGTAGTCCCATGAATTCAACTATTAAAATTGCTACAACTGCCTCAAATCCCCATTCTGAAAATTATACAGTAGTGTAATAAAATTTCCGAGTATTGATTTATTAGTTAAACAACCATTAGTTTTATAAAAATTACAGAGACTAATAAAATACAGATTTACTTGTAATTTGTTTTTTTTGTTTCTGATGTATATTTAAGAGAAATATCACATTTGTTATAACTACTAAGATGAAGTCGCTCTCTCTCTTAACTAAGTTTTGGGAATAATGTTTTCCCCAAGAACTATTCCATATGATTTTTGTGTATTTTTAACTTATGGAGACATGAAGTTTCAAGATAATAAAAGAAAATCACTAACTACTTGACTAACTAAACACTTAAACATTTTCAGTCCTATATTTTATCAAGTTTAACCTTAACGAATAATGATGGAAATTTGTAGTTCTAATCATGGTAATGTCATTGTCTAAAATGAAAAAGACAGAAAAACTATCAAGTTAGAAATATTTAGTGTATAGTGAAAGAGATAAATGGTAAATGTATTGGAATCAAAAGATGTTAGTAGGTGAAATAAAATATCGAATCTGTCGTTTTAGGTTTGATATACAGAAGTAATGTGGATTTCGTATAATTTTACAAACATTTGTCTCAGATAAATTGATACAAATAATTCATTTATCAACTATATTTTATATCCAAAGTACGTAGATGTGACAATTTTCAGTTCACTTATACTTGTCTACTCATAATTGTTAAACTTCATTAATGACCTAGAAGATGAATTGTTCACCATGAATCATAAAGAACTTCTGTTTCTACAATTGTCGAGGCCATGAGTACACACTGTCTAGAAGACTGATACTAGAATCAAACAGCTGTTGATTATTGTTTAGTATTCAATACCAGTATCGGTCAGTAATATAAAACACAAATTGATGAATATCTCCATACTACGACTACTAATACCACTACTAAAAGTAGTAGTGTGGTGTGTGCTACTGATGTCGACCGATATTAATATTATGTATCACCAATCAAAAGTGGAATGTCTAGCGGCAGAAGCTTGAGAAAAATAAAGAACGAGAACAGAGATTGGTTGGTATGGAAACGAAGGAACAACAAAGTCTGAGACAATCGAAGGATATTTTGCAAATGAAGTATTCACTGTATGATTTTCAGATTCTTCCGAGATATTCTGTAGTGTTGTATTAAGACACATTTAATTGTCCCGGCCTGTGTTCATGTTGCATGACTTTTAGGCCTTCATCCCACTTATATTTTAATAATACTAATAATCTATCAATAATGACCATATAAATTTTGCTTACCTGGTACAATATCACCAAATCCAATTGTTGATAATGTTACAAAACAAAAATATGACCATTTTAAATAATCTGTTGATTCCCATAAACAAAATACAGTAGCGCCTAATAATATATAAACAGTCATCATAAGTATAGTTAATGATATTGGAACTGTTTTTAATGTTTCATTTGATGATTTATTCGATTCATTTGTTGCAGAATGACCTATATCTAAATCACTTTGTCGTTTTTGTTGTTGTTGTTGTTGTGTTAATTGATGATCTATATTTATCACATTCATTGATGAAAGTAATTCAAGGTTATTCGAAGTATTTATTGATTCATTGAATGATTGATCATTGATTGAACGAGTTGTATTTAAATAATAATTTGACAAGTCAAAACTTTCCAGTGGTGTATGTTGTTGTTGTTGTTGTTGTAAATATGGACTTAGTGAGTATATATCATTTATGTTAAATCTCTGGGTTGAATAATTTTTTGTATTTATATAAGAAGTTGTAGATGGTATAGGTTCCATTAAATAATCTGGTTTATATGATGATAATCTTGATGAAGAAGTTTGGGATTGTTTATCACTCCATGCTAAATTTGATCGTTCAATATTTTTTAAATTCAACTGATCATTAGGATTGTAATTAGCATAGCTATGACTATGATAAGTATGATATAAATGGTTATTATTGTCATTACTACTAATTCTACTACTATTAGAATGATTGTGAGTAGTATGAGTTAGTTTTCTTTTATATCTTTTATATTTTATTGGATTTGATGATGATGATAATCTTGAATTCTTTCTTTCATATATTAAAATATCATTGTTTTTTGATAATTTTAATTGTTGAGTAACTTTTCTATGAGTTAATTGATTAAAACACTTTTTGATACACTTTTTAAACTGTATAAATGCTGGTTGACAAATACGTATATAGAAAACTTGAAATAATGATGCCATATAATTACCACTATTTGAAAGATAACAAAAAAATAATGGTATACCAAATACAGCATACATCATTGTAAGAAATTTACCTAATCGTGTATGAGGTGTTACATGTCCATAGCCTAGAATTAAAAATTTGAAAAAAAGAAGATAATTTAATAACGAGAAGACAATTATGGTTGTTGGTGATGCCATATATAGGATAATGTAAGCTAATTTGATATGAATTACTGATTAGCTTTAAAACAGTAGATATCTTTCTCTAATTCTGAATCAGATACTGTGATTTTCAAGCTTAGTAAAATCAAGATTTCTGTGGAATAGTCTACAGGTGATTTCAGTCATTTAGCAACAATGTAGAACATCGTACTTACGTACATCAGTTCGAGTTATCATAACACATTAGCACACACATACAATTGTCGATTTAAATCCCATTCTGGTAGAGATAATAAGAATATAAGCAGTAATCGGAAACATTACGGTTTGAAGATGTTATTCAAAGAGTATAATACAGTGAAATAAATTTGGAAAGAAAAACAGAAAGGGACAAAGAATTCAGAAGATTAGAATTTGGGAGAACAAAGAGAGTGGATGCACCTGCACCATTGCAAACGATTTTAAGCCATGTCATTCAAGGTCTCTAACCATCGGTTGCTGTCATCTCGCGGATCCCTACCAGGTAGTCTACACCTAACAACATGATTCAGTCCACTTGTCAGTGACTTCATGGACTTGTGCCATGTTTTGGTCTGACCGCTCCTAGCTTTCTTCCAACCTACTCCTATACCACTGAACATAGCACATCGGGGCAGTCGGTGTTTGGGCATACGTAACATGTGTCCCAGCCATCTCAACTGATCAAGTTTCACTACTTCATCAATGGATTTGCCATCCTTACCTAGTACCCGTTTCTTAACAACTGCATTACTTACTCGATGGTCCCAGGATATACGAGCAATGCTTCGAAGACACCTATAGGTGATTTAATCATTATCAAACCACCCAGAGGATAAAACGTTGTCAAAATCACTGACCTCAACCATAAAGATTTTCCATCATATCGAAAATTGTTGGTGAGTAGCTATCGATTAAGTTGAAAGTTATTTTGAATATTATGAGAGTTTTACACAGTAAGAAAATTTAAATCAATGAGTTTTGAAACGATCACTTAGCGTCTACTTCATAGATTTAGGATACTTGATTATTTAAAGAATGAGATCCAGTGTATCTAACATAGTGAAATTGTTTATACTTTGATTATATATCGATTCGGGAGAAAAAGGAGATAGTTTCGTTTTATTGATGCTTAAAGAAAGGTAATAAATTTTAGAAAAAGTTAGTTTAATGTTATGAAAGTGTTTTACCTTTTGATTAAAATAATACTCTAAGTTTTTCCTTTATCCCTTGAAATAGTGGAAAGTTTATTCAACACAGAAATTAGCATCTGTGATATCAAATTGAATACACAATTTAGTCAGAAAGGAAAAGTGAAGAAGTATTTTTTTTTCAACTAATTTTCCATTATGGCCTTTCACTAATAATAAGTCATTTAGGTGATAGTTTTACATAATAGTATTGCAAGTTTACAAATGATAATGAAAATAATGTCAAATGTTTAATTACTTAGTTATAGTTAGATGAAGGATCAGTTGAATATAATAATGGAAGTAGTTATTTGTTGATATGCAGTTCAGTGGTTCAAAACATAAAAATTTAGTAGAATAATTAACAAAGTATTTTGATGATAACATGTCAAATATTGATTACTATTACGTAAGGCTATGGTGATTGGTATGAAAACTTTACAAAAACATAAAAATAAAAGGGATTCAGAATAACCAGGAATAAACATTCTGTTTTAAGTCATACTGGTTTACCTCATATCCATGGTCAGAAGTGAAAGAAGAGTTAAGTAAATTTATTCTGGATACAATGGTTCAAATTATACATATGGATTTCTATAGTTTCGGTAGTATAGAAAAAAAACAACTTATAAACTATACGGTAAATTTCATGGGGTAAGGTGAATGATTTATTTAAGCTAAATTCAAGTTTTCTTGATTTCTTATGTCAATCATGTGAAGAAGAACAACAAAGTTCATAAACATCTCACATTGTATTTTTTGTTCAACCAGTCCAGATGATGTTTGGAGATATGACAGAAAAAAGTGATTCGTGATAATGAAAGAAACCGATATCTTAAAAGCGAATAATTTTTGTTTGAATTTTTTCTCCGGACATGACATTTTGTAGTTAATTTTGTATTGGGTCAAGGCACTTTATTAGTACTACCTTCATAAAATATGTATAGTAAAAATGGGTTGATAGGACTAGTATTACTACAAGTATTCAGTGAATATGTTAAAGCATAAACGTGAAAGCAAGGAAAGAAAAATAGCAAAAAGTTTCTATCCAAAAGATGCCCCAGAAAAACACTAAGCTAGTTAAAATCTTGAAGGTAAATTCGTAAAAAGCAAAAAACATATTTTCTGGAAGTTTATGATTAACTTTTCCACGCTAAATATTTATTCAGTAGAACAGTTAATGGATATATTGTATAATCTACAGTAAAAAGTAGGTAAATGCTTTCATACTATCCTATCGTACGGAAGGATACCAGAAAAAATTCAACTCGCCAAGATTACAAATACTGTATTTATTACTTGTGTGGTGCGTGCTACTTATATTGACATTAGTAGTATATAACGCAAGTCAGGAATGTGATGTCTGGCAGCAGAAGATGGGGAAGATCAAGAAAGGAAGAGCGGGAATAGAAAGCAGTTAGTATGGGAATGCAAGAACAATGAAGGTCGAGACAATTATTGAACACTTTGCAAATTAAGTATTGTAGTATGGTTTTTCTATTTTACCAAGTAACTCTAATTTTGCGCTGAATATCATTCGGTTGTCATCACCTGTGTTCTCCTTCACTACACTTGTACCATTCAATAATAAAAGATCCTCTTTTTGAACAACATTACTTTGGATAAAATACTGCATATATTAATTTTGGTGTTATATACACTAGATAAGCATCAAATTAAGCAATTAAACATTTATTTGAATATGATTATGATATCTTATGACGGAGAAACTTGACGTAATACTCGGATGTTCAGAGAGATTTATTAGTTATTAATTAACTTTCTTTTCTATTATATGTCATGTGTGCCATTCATGAAGTCTATAAATTTCTCAAATATTAGTATAATATTATTTTAGAATATCCTGATAAGTTCGTAGATATTAAATCATTTTCTAACACAACTGCCGACTAATGTTTGTTTAGGTTTTTGTAGGTTAACTATCTTAATGTTATATATTTTATAATAAGCTGACAAATGCCTATTTCATTAGATCACTTATCTTTCTTTCTGTCCGGTTTACGTTAACAAAATTAAAAGAGTAGTTTTGGTTTATAGGCAATTATATTTTTAAGACAAACTGTTTAAGAATTCCAAATTCTACTAATATATACATGAAAAATGGAATTGAACACCACTGAATGATAACATTTCAGATTTGATTTACAGCATATATTTTGTTCACTCCGAGGGCCACTGGTTAAATGATATTGGACACATTGACTTTTAGTGCCACGTGTTACATATGCCTGAACGCCGATTACCACGACGTGCAATGCTGACTAGTGTTGGAGATGGTTGGAAGAAAGTTAGGGAAGGCCAAACCAAAACGTAACATCAGTCCTTGAAGTTACTAACATCCGGTCTGAGCCATAATGGTAGATGCACACTACTTGGTTGGGGTCCGCGTGACTATTCTAACCAATGGTTGGAGATTGTTGGTGACATGGCTCAGAATTGATCACAATGGCGTAGGTGTATACACTCACTGTCTTTATTTAAACTATGAGATTAAAATCGTTTGATATCTTTCCTTCTATGAACTAATTCTTTCTTCTTGTACTACATCCTTATGCACGATCTTTGTTTTATATATTACTATCATTGAAGTAACTTCTATGGATTCGGTGTTCATCTTGTTGTGTTAATGAGGTATAGCAACTTGGACCGATGCATATATGTGCCTGGTCCTACGTTGTAGCTGACTGACTGACTGGAGTGAAAATTAAATACTGTAATAGGGTCGTTTTAAGTGAGTAATGAATTGTACAGGAAACAACTAAGAATAAAAAGCCTAAAGCTGACAAAAATGGTTCATTTCAATTACTTTCAAATAATTTGAAGGTTAAATAGTGCCTTTAGTTCAAGTGTTATTATTCTGTTTAAAGAAATTAGTCGTTTTTATACCATTGGTCACCCATAGAGTTGTAAACAAAGTGAAAATATTTTTAACAATTTTGATTTAAATGCTGAAGTTATAAAGACAAACGTTCTTAGTAATAATCAATTAACAAAACTAATAGATCATTGAATAGTAACCGGTGCTTTATTGTCTAATCCTTGGAAATGATTGAATTGTAATCCAGACACAAAAGCTAAATAATTCAATATTTTAGTACACAACAAAATTAGTAGTCAGGATATTTCATACTTAGAATACTATGCTGTCAATCATTTGATATTTTGCAATGTCCAGAAATCATAAAATCCTTCTATTCTGAATTAAATTTCTTGAATTTATGTGTTTATCTATAATTTATAAACTAGAGGATGTAAACTAACTATTCGTGACCTAAAGTATCTTTATTTAAAAAAAATATAGATAGTTAATATAACAGAATTCCAGAAGTAGGCTGTACCCGCCCCCGAGTACCGCTTGAACTCTTAACCTGTTATTCTGATTAATATATCTTAAAAATTCTGTTATGTCTAATAATCATAGTGACATTATATCGTAGCGGACTGTAAGATATAAAATATAAACACTTGTACATTAAATCATTTCAATATAATTAAGGTTTCTAACAAGTAGTTAATGGGAGGAATTGGGAGAATATTTGAATTATAGGCTTGATCGTGATCAATAACCTGTAGTTCTATGAAATTAATTTTTCCGTAACTAGTCAAAGATAAGCAAATACTACGCATGTCTATCAACGTAGTTAGTTGCTAGGTTCAAAAGCCGAAATATTAAATAACTTAATAATAAAAGTTAAACTGCGTGCAGTAGACCTATACCACTTCTCATTTATAAACTGTTCTTAATTCAAAATGTGTGCTAAAAAAGAGTTGCACATTGTTTCGATTATTATTATTATTACTATTACTATTATTATCATTATTAGCTCTATTAAATAATATATTTTTGGTACAATATAGAAATCTCAACACAAAGTACCTCATCAAGTTTTCGTTTCTTATTTCTTGATCTGTATTGAGTGGTCACCAGTGAGAAGTTAGTATTTCAAGAATCGACATCGTAATAATTTACATTCTTTTCGAGGCGTATTACTACAAACCACGATTTCTTTGATTGGGCTTTTTTGTAACTTGTACAACACTTGAATATCTAATGCAATTCATTGACATAATGGTCTTTTAAAACAAACATAAAAACAGATAATTTGTTAAAATATCTAGATGGCAGAATTAGGTAGCCCAGATATTCAAGCAGACAACTATGTTATTCATATGGATACTATTTAGTAATTTTGTAAATACCATACAAATTTTCTCATCATCTCATTTATCGTTATTATAGTTAAACGTGTTCTCATAAACAAATTAATTATAACATTCTAAACTAAAGTGAATAAGAACTTGATGAATTAAAAAAACCCCTCTAACTTCATTCAAAAAAAAAAAGAAAAAGAAAAGGAAAAGAAATACTGAGAAATTGTTTCGTAATGTTAGACGTAGCTTTCTTTTTTTTCTTTTTTTTTACCCTTTCACAATCACAGTCCTTATACTAAACTTAGCAATGATAAATAAATCATAAAACTTATGAGATTGTAAGAAAGATAAAGATAATATATTATGAACTTTAATGAGAAAAAAGTAAAACTTACATTCTATAATTAGTTATAAAACATTGAAAATGTTAACACAAATTAGTTTTTTCTCTTTTATTCACCAGATTTTTTTGAAAAAACACATATATACTACTTACAGTGTTATATGTCAAGTGTATTCATTGGTTTGACGTAGAATTCAGCTTCCAAATAGTCTGGGAAAGTAATTGCCTAATTTATAAAGGTGTTCATTTACAAAATTACATCAATATTATACAAATTATTATATAAATTTTATGTTATTATACTGTAAAATGGAAGCAATGCTTAGTGATCCTATCAAATTTCAAAAAAGTTACTAGTAATTATGACATCAATGATAAATTAGAAAAACAACTGTCTAATTTCTTTAAGGATTTAAAGAAAAAGGGAATAATCACGATAGAGATTGATGATTCAATTAAGCTGATTGAATCATATACACCACGACTGAACAGTTTGCCTAAAGTTCATAAATCGGATCATCTTCTACGCCCAGTTCTAGATATGTACAATTCTCTTTACCATAAAATTGCAAAGTGGCTAGTACAAATCTTAGAGCCTTTGAACAAATCAGTTGTTAGAAAGAGTATAAAAGATGTCTTCGTCTTCACCTCCAATGTGAAAAGTATGAATGTTAGTATGAAAAGTATGATCTAACTAGATGTAGTATATTTGTTTACCAATGTACCACTTATCAAGACTATTGAGTTTATATGCAAGGAAATATCAGAAAAACAAATCAACATTGGCTCGCCTGAAGATAGTTTGACCGAACTGCTCTTAAAATGTACGTTGAATGTTTATTTTGTCTTCAACAATACTTATTGTAATGTATATTTATAAAAATACACTAATTTATAAATAATTTCAATGGTTGAGATCATGAATCGATTGGAGCTAGACCACCCTGGAAAACTCGGAACCACTGGACGGCTGTTTCATCTTATTGTGAGACTCTTCAGCAGTGCGCATTCACGATTCCGCCTTGCGAGATTCCAAGCCAGGACCTATCAGTCCCACAGTGTTTCCAGGTTTTCCATGGTGGTCTAACTTTAATTGACTCATGATCTCAACCATTGAAATTACTATAATATCCACAAAACCCCTTTCTCGTATAAATAAATTTCGAAAATTCAATTAGTTTGTTGACAAATTAATTAACTGAATAAAATATTAGCTTACAAGATTCCTCAGATCTTGAATTCGTTGATGTTAGTTGAATTGTAAAACAAATAACAAAATATATTCAACAAATCATCTATATTCTTTAATAAATGAAAATTTATACGATTAATTTAAATCTCAAAATGGACATGTTTGATTTAAATAAAGATATAGAGAAATCAGTGAAGAAAGTTTTTTCTTTTCGACAAAATCATTCACTTATGGTATACACATTCATGAATGGTAGGCCAACTTGAGAAAGCATTACGGAGCTTAGCTGAGTAGAATGTTTTATTCAACGATCTATTTATTTAAGATTTGATATCCAACTCATTACCGAATTCCAACTTATTTTCTTCTCCTTGAATTTTGAATGGGAAATTCTTATAATGGTTGCTTGTTAACAAGATATGTGTCATTGTAATCTTATGTGATAAGATTATTAAGCAAAATTAAAATTAATCTCATCAAATCTTCTGCCAACCATCTGTCCTACTTTTGCTTACCATGTTATTAAGTGAAATAAACACGTTATCGTGTTTTTCAAATCATCAGGAGGTCACACAAAATCCTATTTTCCACTTGGTGAGCCAGAGAATAAGATAAGGAATCATTAGTAACTTTTATTACCCATAAATTACATAAAACACAAGACTATACAAAAATATTGATACAAAACTCAGCATCATATATTTATAAGTTGGGTTTGTAGAGATCATTGAACTTCATTGAAATCATGAACCGATCAATGTTAGACCATCATTGAAAACATGAATGTACTGAACGGCCATTTCATCCTAATATGGGACTCTTCAGCAGTGCGTATTGACGTTCCCACATGAGGGATTGGAATCCAGGACCAAATGTCCTGCATGTTGGATCTTGTATTAGCGCTTCCGAGGGCTCTCAAATTAAGATGAAATGGCCGTCTAGTGCTTTTAGATTTTTAATGGTGGTCTAAAATTGATCGGTTTATGACATCATATATCTAGTTAATTAACTGTAATTTCTGAACAGCAAAAGGTACGTAGTAACACTTATTGTGTTGAAAAATAACATTTTATTAGAATGATATAAAATTATAATAAAATATTTGATAGATACTCATGAAAATATACAAACTTATTCAATAAAGAATAAGTACCCACATTGTATTTTTCTATTTTATCATTGTCTTTCTAATGCTTCATGATGATGAATTCATTCTCTAACTATTCAATAGATTTTAGAAAATTTTCTTCAATAAACTTTAGTGATACGTATTTAGTGAATGAATGAACAAAACTAATAGTTTAAAATTAATGCAATAGCTTAAACTGTTTGACAATTTGACAATAAAACTCAACCTTAAACAGTAAATAAACAAAGTTTGACAGAGGGACCCCCCCTACTAACTGAAGATGTTGGTACAATAAAAGAAAATCTTAGTTAATTTTTGTAAAAGAAATATTTGATCTAAATAAATGTAACTAGGAGTTGTTTGTCACTTAAGAAATGAATAATCAAAATTAAAGATGAAAATATTGGTAAACCTGAGAGTATAATTTCTTGAACTTAAGAGTTATTACAAATATTTTCAACAATTTTATAATTTCACTTTTAGGGAAGATAGATTTCTTAAGCTTAGTAAATTCTAACTACACAACGGGTAATTAAGAACTTTCGTCTAAATTTGAACGAATAGTTTCACAATATTTGGGCGCCCAGTTAATTTGAGACATTAAAAAGAAGAATATAATTGTAAAATCTCAGCGAATGAATTTTAAGTAAATCCAAGTTTTTTCAAGGAAAATATCAACGGGTAATGTTATTAAAAAGATATATAATGATTGTTACACTTATCTGAAGGGACAATAATGTTCACTACTTCTAATTAATATTCGATTACTTGTGTGGTTATTTGATATTAAAATAATACCATTTACTGTATGTCAACTACAATTACAATAAACTTTGTTAATGATTTGTATTCTGTACTGAACAGATATACTACGATAGGTACCAGGAAAAGTTTGCATCAAAGTTTTGCTGAACCGGATGAACGATTCAGTAGACTCTCAGCTATGAAATCAATAGGCCAGGTTCCGTAGTGATCAATCGTGCACAGACCAAATAACGATACTACGGATCATTGTTGAACAATCAGTTAAATGGATTCTGTAACCATACTTCAACTTTCTTGATCATGAGAAATAGTTTAACGGTGTGGATAGGAGAACATTATGGAAACTTCTTCGATACTATGGAGTACCTGAGAAAACCGTCAACATCATCTGGAATTCATACTACGGACTACAGTGCAAAGCTGTGAATGAAGGAGAGCTGACAGATGCATCCCAAGTAAGAACCGGAGTCAGACAAGGCTGCTTGCTCTCCCCCTTTCTATTTCTTCTGGTGGTCGACTGGATTATGAAGACCTCCACATCTGAGAAAAACCACGGAATATAATGGACAGCTTTCATGCAAGTAGACGATTTAAATAACCTGGCTCTTCTATCCCATACACACGAACAAATGCAGATGAAGACAACCACTGTAGAAGTAGCCTTTGTATCGGTAGGCCTCAGTACACACAAGGGAAAGGCCAAGAACCTCAAATAAAATATCGAGAACAGCAACCCAAAAATACTTGATGGAGAAACTGCAGAAGAGGTGGAATCCTTCACGTACCTGGGTAGCATCATCAATGAACGTTGAGACATAAAGGCGAGGATTTTCAAAGCAAGGACAGCATTCCTACAATCGAAGAACATATGAAACTCAATACAACTGTTAAGCAATATCAAAGTCAAACTTTTAAATACAAACGTTGAGACAGTCCTACTGTATGGAGCTGAAATTTGGATAAGTACTACAATAATCATCAAAAAGGTACAGGTATTTGTAAACAGTTGTCTACGCAAGATACTCGATAACCATTGGCCGGATACCATCAACAACAACCTTTTGTGGGAGAGGACAACCCAACTTTCATCTGAAGAGGAAATTAGGAAAAGAAAGTGAAAGGGGAATGGATATATATTGTGAAAAACATCAAACTGCATCCCGTAGCAAGCCCTAATTTGGGATCCTGAAGGCAAACAGAAAAGAGGACGATCGAAGAACATATTGCAACGAGAATCGGAAGCAGATATAAAAAGGACGAATAGCAAGTAAAAAAAAATGACTGCTCAGGACAGAGTTAAT